TATTTACTCGAAATACATTCGAGGCTATATATAAATATATTTATGTATATATATAATATGTATAGGATGCCCATTTCGAGGGTAAGATAACTGTGTAATTGATGAAATATTCTGTATAATTCTAATTACTAACTAATTCAATTTGCCTAAACTTCTTGCGCAAGTTGCTTACAGAGTCTTTGAACAAAACAGGGTCGAGCCTCATATTTGATCGTAATAATGGCATGTACCCGAAAACAGCAACAAACGTATTCATGCACGTTTGCCGCTGTATAAAGTGATCCGGATCGTTCCATGGGGATCTGAAAATTCGATTTTATCAACCGAGGGAATGGTGCCACGAGGGTGCCATTCAAGAATCACACAATCATTTAAGTAATCACCTATGCACTCGCAAGGCAGCTCAGTGTAAATATGTAATACATACCTGATTCCAGCCACTGTAGTATCTTTATACAATTTCCGTTGAGTTACTTTAATAGGTGGTCTTCGCGTAACATGACTTACTAAAAAATTCATAAGTATGTCCTCGCAATTTTGCGATTGCTCGACAGTCTTGTGAAGTGTCGAACTTAATAATTCGGTATACAACGTATTATAATAACGATGGTAAAAAGCGGCACCAGTTAAAATTATACTATAGTCATTTGTCCATTTACTTGTGTAGCCCCATGAGCGCTTTGCGTAATAAGAAATACATTGTAAGAAGAATTTTGTAAGACGTAAAATAGAAAAGAACGTCTCCCTAAATTATACTTACTTTAGAGTCGTCCCAGTAGTGTGATCTAGCTGGGTAACCAACTAATCGATCAGGAAACGATCGCCAAACGGTGAAAGCGAAATCAATTTCATCTGTGTTGAGTGTGGCATCTTCGTCTAGAGATAATATGGCACTAGTTTTGATTAACGGATGAGGGTAGAAACGTTGGGATATACCGTCGACCGTAGCAACATGTATTGACGCTTTGATCCCTTGCCATCGTGGTCTCCTTGGTAACGGAATGTCCGAGTTCCACATTAGTATAATCTGGAACAGACGAATGTCTCGTTTAATCGTGTCAACAGCAAACCAAAGACTCGGTCGAAGCAAGGTAAACTCACCTTATCTAGGTATTTACTTTTCGCCAGACTTTTAAGCAGTCGATATAGGACAGCAGTGGATCCCAACTGCGAGTAGATGATGGCAGTGAATGTATTACCTGGATTACTTTTTGAAAATGGAAGTTCTTGCTGACTATCCGCGAACTGCGGTAATATTGCTAACGCTCCTGGATTAGTATTCCAAACAAGTTTCTCTCTCGTACCCTCCCAAGGTAGACGCTCACGAATATTCTGCGAGTGCAATGGAACATTAGGAAACTAGAGTAATCCTCGTGTCAAGATTGATAGTGTCATTTTATGGCGTTACCTCGAATACTGTAAATACGATTTTTTCTATCGAGGAAAAGTACCGTTCCCAAAGGAATTGCGTCTGCTGTCGTAATTTAAGAATTTGTACATTGGACACAGACCGCACTATATCTGAAATCTAATGAAAAAATATTTAGTTTTGTCATTATCTTGATAATAAGTGTTACTTTAACTCTACATACTTGAAGTAACAGTCTTTCATCAGAAAATATAACAGCTTGTGTCCAATCAATTCGTTCGTGAAAAGGAAGCGCCCAGCCATTACTTAAAATAACTGGAATGCATCCAGCTCTTAAAGCTTCTAAAAATCGAAAACTACCGAGTCTTCGTCCTCTTGGTACAAGACAAAAGGTGGCATTCATTAATAAAATTTCATAGTCATACCTAAAATAATGAATTAGTTATATATCTCAGATCTTCTACTGGACTAGTCGTCCATGAAAATATATTTTTAGTACTAACGTATCATATTCCTGATTATCTTGTTGACAATGTTCATCTTGTAACTCCCTCCATGCTTTACCATGGCGACAAGTTGTAACAAATACTAAGTCTTTGCCGTTATGTAAATGATAGAGAGCATTTCTAGTCTCAGAACCTATGCCATGGACGTATCTTTTACCCTTGAAAGCTGCTACATATTTTTTATTGCTAGGAAAGTTATTCTCTAAAGCTTGGCCTGGTTCACCACCACGTTCTGGATGTTGTTTTCCAAATAATGGTATAGAAATATCAAAGTCCGGTCTATGCCTAAAGATAGACATGCTAGCTTTTGCGAGCATGGCATATCCTAAATCAAAGGCCAATGCCTCTTCTGCATAATCAGGCCATGTTCCAGAATACAAATTAAATATCAAGTGATTTCTGCCATTATTCCAATATGGTAAACGCATCAATTTTGAAGGAAGATTATGCACAAATTCTGTCGATAATGGATCTCTGTCCAGTGTATCAAGGGCTAATACAAATATACATGCACGACTTGGATCTGATGTATAATACCTTGATTCTGTAATAACATTTAATATTTTTTGGTATAACGGACTTATCACATCTTCGACCGGATACACATACACAGTGAACCCTTGCTTGCATCTGGTAAAGTCAAAGCAGGTCTCCATACGGCATTGCCTTGTACGATGAGACATGAGTAGGTTTCCATTTGATGTTCTTAAATCCTTGTCATATAACTCTTCATTTAGACTTAAATATGAAGGCAATCGCTCATAAGGCAACTGAGATTTGCCTGTCCATTTTTCACTTTTTAACCGGTAACCACCAAAATAGCAATAACCAAGAAACGCACACGTGACAAATAATAATAAATAGCGTTTCTTGGCTTGCATTTTTAATGCAATCAGGTTATACTCCAATAAACATTGATTTGAAACATTCTTCTTTACATGTAGACTGCGTGCATTTAATCATAAATGCATTATAACGAATTACGTAGATTTTATAAATACACAAATCGAAAATTACTCCAAAACGGAAATGTTTTCATTCTTGAAGATCCCTGGAACAAAACAAGTAAAATACACTAATTGCAAAAAACACAAATTCCACATGTACGCACAATAATATAATAATATTCACTTTGTTTCACATTAGTTTTCCACGATTTGCAGCACATACAATTTAATGAATTTCTTTTAAGTCAAAAAAACTATCGTATAAAAACGTCAACGGTTAGTTACCTTTAAATTTACAAAATTCGATATCGTTTATTGACAGGAACGTTTCGAAAGGTCTAATTATTATAAAATACATGGCAAAGGACGTGTTCCACTAAAACGTCGATTTTATATTTATTAATAACATTGAATTGCGATAGAGAAAATGTCGAAGCTAGATGACAGATTGTAAACGTCGATGGACGCTGCCGTGAGTTAACCTATTTGTGAATTATTCGACATCGTCGTACACAGTAGCGGCAGCGTCAAACGTATCGAAGAAAGAGTTCGATAAAGTAGGGACGAACATCGTTTCATAGTTTTTTACGATACAATCTATTTATCTCAGTCAGTATAACACGGTGAACTTTTTGCTTAGGTTAGTCCTGACGTACATACAATTCGCAGAACTCGCCGGTGTTATTACGCTCATCCGCATTTTCGGTCGGCGTCACCACACACGCGTGACATCGATCGGAAAATGTCTCCAAGTGCAAAATCATTGCACGCAACGCATTAAATAATTGGTTTATAAAGCAACGCGAGTTATGCAATGACGTTAGACCATTGAGCTCTATAACTATAATAGAGCTCAATGCGTTGGACCGATTAGACTGACAAATCGCTTATTGGTTACTTCATGCCGACCTCTCCAGGATGTTTGATTGTGTTTGTACATACGCGAATAGCACGACGAATCTGCACTCCTACAATCTACAAATCTAAACATTAATTCCAATCAAGGTTATCCCGCTACCTAGCGGTAGGCCGATAAACCTGCGGAGCCGTATCACCCGCTTCGATTAAATTTATTAAAAGCACATTTTTTTATTGCAAATCAATAACTCTTTATGCCAGACGCGAAGCTTAACGCGAAGCTTGTATGGTATCAATTAGAGTGAGGGTTATCACGTTACACGGCGAGGTTGTTAAAGTGGAGGTGAGAAAATAGGTCTTACAATCTTGTATAATAAAAAAAGGCTTACCTAATACCAGAATCTTCGTTTCTAAGCGTTGAAGCAAAAATTCTATTAATTTTACGATACTCTCACGCAATTTTTCGATAAATACTTCTTCCTTCAAGAGAAACTCGATATTTTTGTAACTCGACACGCGTTGCTTCGTCAGAATCTTCGCACTACTTTGCTCACTCGAGTCTTTTAATAAACTGCTTTTCAGCGGAGTATTATCCTGCAGAACTGTAGACTTTACCTTGATCGTTGACTCTTACGATCGGTTTCCTGAGCACGCATATTATTAATGTTTGCTCCGCATATATGTATATTTCTCAATACGGAATTCGTTCTCGTGTATAGCGGATATTGTGTAATCTCCCGATGTTAATGTGTGCGTTAAAAACCACGTTTATTTACAGCAAAATAATCATGAATTGCGTTATCTTCATATTTAATGATTCCTGTTCATGAATACTTTCCTTGTTTAATCCTTTTAATGTGTATGATCTTTCAATGATACAGCAACTTATAAATTTAATGTGCATACGATTTTTAATTTTATACAAAGAAATCTTATACTACAAGGATGGGTTTAATAAATGCATTTTAAAATTTGATAAAAAACAGAAAAATGTTTGTTATATTTGAAAGTACAATATAATCCAAAAATTCAGTTTTCTTTGAATTCTGGCCCTTGTATTGATTTGCCATGTTCATCATAAATTTTGAAGGGTGTACATTTACTGCGCCTATTTCTAGTATCAGGATTTATTCTTAATTTTCTCCCTGCCACAGTTGGTGCTTCTCTCACTTTTCTTAAATACTCTGCTGCTGCTTGAGCACTTTCCATTTTAATTATTGCAGCTCTAGAGATAAAATAAAGAATTTATATACTTTTTTTATATATGATACCAGTACCAATTGTAGATGTTTGACAAATACCTAGATTGTTCTGAATATGGTTCCAACATTTTAATAGTCAGACAACCTGGAATAGCTGCCCTCAGTTCATCACGCTTTGTTCCACATTTGATATTTGACACAAACAAGCTGTTGAAAACCATAGCACATTTAATTTTTGATGTTCCATATTGATAATAGAAGTATATAGATTACTACTTACTGTCTTGTTACTTTGGTATCTGGTTTTATTTTGGGTATAACAATCTTTTTTCTTATTGTAGGAGGTTTCTTCTCAACTTTAGTTATCGCTGGACCAACAACCACACGTTTTCCATCTATTTTTATATCTTTTACTGCTTTCCAATTTTTGTCTTTCTCCCTTCGACTAGGAAATATTACATAGCAGTATCTTCTAGATTGTCGAAGAAGATTTACTTTGAAATTACCAGTAAATAATTTCGCTACATCTTCCTCATCTTTTATCGTATGCGGAAGGCGAACATATAAAGCTCTTTTTTTCTCCTGTTGTCGTTCTTGAATTCTTTTTGTGATTTTCTTCATTTTTCATATTACATTAATTGATGACAGTTATGCATAATACAAGTTTTAAATAAACAATATTTATTCAACGATAACGAGCATGTGTACATTCGAGTTTAGGTTATATTTACATTTCAAATTTATTAATTGGTATGATATTCTGATGCATAAATAATTAAAAATGAACTAAGCGGAGAATATTTTCCCAGCTGTTTATCTTTTCTTAATTTCTAATACTGGCTTGCATTCAATAACCACTCGATCTGATAAATCTACACCATTCAATATGTCGAAAAATGTCGAACGTCGGAGCCGGAAACCGAAACCGACCAAAGAGACATCTATTCACCAGTAAGAAATGTAAAGAATCACAGATGGCCGTCTCAAATCAACAACCGGTGCAGTGAACGAGACGAGCAAAAGAGACGCGGTTATGTACGCAAAACAATCGCGTCAGACGCGCAAAACGTCGTGAAACATGTAAGAAGTTGTTATCATAAGTGCCATCGCGTTGAATTTTACGTTTCTTTTTGTTCCGCGACACTGCGAATCGCAACGGCGAAAGTAAAATTTGTCCCGACCTGCCGTCGCTTTCACGGAATTGGTTTTATCGTTGTGTGACGTACAATTTTCGGAGCACCGAGGCCAAACTCGAATCGCTGTACAAGGATGAGCGCGAACAATGTGCAAGCACTTTTTGCGTGCTCCAGATGCTTTTCGAGGCATCCGTTCGAGGAACTTTCCCCTGGCCAGCAATTGTGCAAGGTGCGCTTCCGATTTTTCTACATTTCATCCGAATTTTATCGCGTTATTGCCGATTCTTTTGTAGCGTCACTTTCCGTGTTCACGGTATACTATGCTAATAATAGAACATTTAATTCAAATACGTTCTTCGTATAATTAACATTGTTTTATAATCGCTAAACTTCGAACATGATGCGAGGAAAAATTAAGCCTTACGGGTGGATACGTTCCTTAACATCTGCGTTTACGGACGATCTTGGAAATCAGAGATTATGAAGTTCGCGTTACTGATTATCTCTTCTGAAGATTGTCTTAATCTTTTACTGAGCACTTCAATAATTTTTTTTCTGTATTCACTTGACATTCCTTAAAAGTTAATGAATAAGCACAGAAGCTGACCAATAAATTCGTGACGTTATGTTTCTAACAGATTTTTCTTATATTGTGTTGCTGATTTAGGAATGCAGAGGTGCATTTCCTGTGGTGAAATGTACATATTGTAGATCAGAATTCCAGCAAACAATGTAAGCACTCCATACCTGTTTTGTAGTTAAAATGATATACATATGTCCTTGATGTACCTACAAACCTATCCTGTCTTCTGCTTTGCAGAAAAGGTAATACGAGCACTATATGTAAAAAGTGTGAGCAAAATGTGAAAGCTTATGGAAAGCCATCGGCCTGTGAATATTGCAATACTATAGCTGCATTTATTGGCAGTAAATGTCAAAGATGTACAAACTCTGAAAAACGTTATGGTCCACCCGTAACATGTGAGCAATGTAAACAGAAGTGTGCCTTTGACAGACAAGATGAAGATAAGAAGGTGATTTAAATAATAAAGAAATTTGTTAGTCAAATATTAAATATCGATATGCACATTACAGGTTGATGGGAAGTTATTATGTTGGCTGTGTACTCTGTCATACAAACGCGCATTGGCAAAGACAAAACAGTCTGATGCCGAGAGGAGGGCGCATCTGAAACTGGCACAACAACGAGCAGCAAAGCACAAAGAACAAAAGTAATTATTCAAATACGTAATGTCACAAGGTAACTTTGTGCTGAGTAGTTTTAATTGTGTACATCACAATTTCAATGTTCGTAATATAGGATCGTAAGATAAGCTGGTAACGTTTAACACGTAGGCATATCGTGCGAGCCCATCACTTGGTTTATTCTGCTTCAGATTGAAAAGTCACAATAAGCGACCACACAGAGTCGATGTGACGAAGTTGCCGCCTCAATCTGAAAGCGCAGAGACGAATGGTCCAACGCCAGTGAAAGCAGCGCGGATGGCAGGCGTTCACGATCCGCACGATCCAAATAGTTCAGATCATGTGGTTGCCGTTACGCAACTGAAAGAGAAGATAGCGCACCTCCAGAAACAAATCTCTATCAAGGACGGGCAATTGCTTGCTAAAGATAGACAGGTATGTATATTCCGTACGGAAGAAACTTTGAAATGTACACACACCGAACAACGCTAATTTGTTTTGCAATTATTTGTGTTCGCAGATCACAGAGTTGAAGGCAAAGAATTTCACGTCGGAAACGGAACTACGTAACAAGATGAAAGCGTCAGAGAAGGAGTATGAAGCCAAAATATCGACGATGCAACATAAGATTTCCAGTTTGCTGAAAGAAGTTGCTTCCTTATCAAAAAGCTCCAAGCGGGGCGATAGAGTAACTGCGACGAAAACAGAAGCTGGGACCAACAGTGGAAGTGGAACAGACAGTCCTGTACCTTGATAAGGTAGGACATTTCAAATCCTCTCATTATTTGTCAATTAATGTTCAATTGATCGTATTCTACATTTACATTTTTATTCGACGACACGATCTATTTACGATAATAAAATGTTGTAACTGAATACATATTTTTGGTGTTTGGAATGATATTTTATTTGTGATTTAGCGTTTGTGACTTCTTAATATTTCGTTTTCGATTAAGAGTCGAACGTTGTCAGGATTCCATTTCTTTTGCGCTTTTAGTTGTGATCTATTATTTCCAAATATGTGTATAAGAACGTATTATTTTTGCTACCTCGTTCCTATATTTTCTTACGATATTGTATTTCGTTAGGTTGATTTTTCATTCTACCCTCAAATTGTTAATATCGATTTTATTTTACAATGAAGATCACTCGTTCGAAGATCTGTTAATATACACGTTTCTTCCATAATTCCTTTTCGTTTTTAGTCATCGATGCTTAAAATGTTTTGCGCACATCATAACTTATAGCGTTTCTGATCATTTCTGCTCGTATCGTTCATGATCACGTATGGTGGCACGAAGTTATTATATTTACTGGTGCGCATTGTGAACAGTGTCTTTTGTGGATAAAAGAAACGTGTAATTTTTTGTGGGAGATGAAAGACATATCTTAAAACTGTTTTCAGGGACTTGGTTAGCTGTGACAACATACTCAAATGTCCATACCCGCATAAATGATGTGGTACATTACATATAGCTAATTGTTTCCATTAACAAGGCAAAATCTGTATTATTTTTCTAATTAATATAGGAATGTATATTATCTTCGGCGTGTACACGGGAAATCTTACGCGTTCTTCTAACGGGGGATGATCACGATATCGCATGTGCAAAGTGAAACATGTTATTCGTAAATTAGATAGCTTTCCCCGTTCTTATTCCGTTTCATGACAATGCCCCGGACGCGAGTTCCTACGACTCGATATTGTGGTAAATTTGTTGCATGACGAAAAGATAAAACAATTCATACTTAATTGGATTGTACAATAAGGGTCCGTGTGAAGGAACACTCGTTTCGATATGGGAGTGATTTTTATGATCCGAGTTCCGATACTTGCGACGAGAATGAACAAGTTATATACAGAGAAACATTACACACATAAACACACTATGATTGAGCAATAGTGCTGGTGTAACATTTTCCTATTTATAATGATGAAGATGTAACGACGATGAACCAGGATATGGTGATTGTAGATCAATTTACAATAAAAGGAAAAAAACGAATATACCTCGCCTTGTAAGTTTGAAACATATCCTTGGACTTCCTTCCTATTAGAAGGATCCGCCTTTCCAATCGATCGTCGTTTCATATAACTTATGATCAACCCAAAATGACGTTTAATATTCACGAGGGGAGAAAAATTCCAAATTAGAGATTGCAGTAGTAGAGAAAGAAAGGTGTGAATAGGTAGTGATATTTGCATATAAATATCCAACAGCCATATATTTATTTTTTATTTTAAGAAACAAATGCTAATTGAGCATTACCTATTCAATAATTGTAATGATAATAAATGCGTAACAATTTACTATATACGAAGTGTAAGGATAATTAACATTTAATTTATAGTCGTTTAAATATGTACGAGCGTGTACACGTGTGTACAGTACAGTTGGAGTTATCATTTAATTATTATGAGATGGTAAGAACTAAATATTGCTTGTCTGTTGCCGAACCGGTTAGTCTCTTGATTCCTTCGATCAATCTACTTTCAGCGTATTTACACGATCTTCTTAGTTCTCCATCTTCTTCACCGTTTTTTTCGCCTTCTGTTTTTTCGGTTTTCTCGTAATTTAAATCTTACGTGGTAGGTTCATCTGTCTCCCCGTATCTATCATTCTCTCCCTCTCTTTCGCTCGCCCGATCGTTCGTTTCTCGTTCGTTCGTGCTCTTTCATTCTTGTATCTTCCTCTCTCTCTCTTTCTCTCTCTCTCTCTCTCTCGCGCGCTCTCTCGCTCTCTCTCTCGTCTTTTGACCTCATTATTTATAATAGTGCGTTTAATACAGGCAAGTAGGAAATCGAGGCAATATACAGAATGACAATCGACAAAACGTCACTGGAAACCCTCTTCGGTATTGTACTTATATTGAGCGTGTAAAAAAATATAGGCGACGTTGATTGACTCAGTAATCAACACTTTTGCGATTGTTGATATCGTTTAGGATCTATGGGGCTTCTAGCCAGTGCGATCGTTGTAGGTAGACGTCTCTTCGAGTGGACATGAATTGTTAATCAACCCTATTCGCAATAGATAGCAAGCAGTACGATCGCAAAAGTATTAAAATTAACATCTGAAATGTGGAATCTTTGCTATGTTCATGATGAGAGTATAAAACGAATCGTGCATCGTATCGAACAAATATACAATATTTCATACGGTATTCGTTTCCAATGTCGTTTTCGTGGCATAGAATATATGCAGGCCTAAATTTACTACCACTATGGTCAACATCGTAGAATCGATTCAGTCCGCGTTATTAATCTACGATCTTGACAATCTCGCGATGACGGTAGTCTTCAGCGTCCTGCGCGTGTCTCGTTTCGCCAATAGATCGCTATTATAGCGTACACATCGTATCAGAAAATTTTCAATTTGGCCTAGGCATTCGGTAGAATGCCCGAGTCTTCCATGTTGCCTGTTAACGTTAACGTATGTATATCTGCAAAAATCAGCTTAAAGGCCTTGCGAATCGTACCGTTTCCCAATTATTTTTCCCCCATTTTCTCTGTGGTACATACGAACGAAGAGATTCGCCGAAACGAACGTTTCGTTTTAAAGCTGCCTTAAACTTATTACGCGTTGAAGTAACCCGATAATGATTCTATGTTCAAAGAGAGGACAGCAAAACGGAATAAACGAACTGAACGGTCGGTTCCAAAAATCTTACGACGAGCACCATGATATTTGCAGGAACCATAGAACTTGTCATGTGACGTTCCAAGCTAAAAACGGATAGATTGCAATCGATTGGACGTGGAACTTTTGGATTTCTGCTGCTTGATCGTTCACGCGAATTCTGTTCATGGATACTGAGGCATTAATAAAGGAAGTTAGGAATGCTAATTGTCCTCGAACGCGCTCTGTGATTTTTCCAATTTTTTCCTCGTTTCTTTTCCAGAATCTTTCACCCTCGGAATCGTATCGCGATGCACGTAACTTCTTTAGAATTTTCTTTGTAGACGATTAAGTAACCGTGCGTTATATCAGTCTGCGATACACCTTAATGTGCCATCGTTGTCGATCAGTGATTCCCGGCGTTTCGTTTCCCGATTGCTCCTTAAAAATCGATTTTCGAGTTACACGCGAATCACCGATCGATTACGACTTTACGTCGTTTTGCGTCTAAGTGGTAGGCTGCGCTTTCTCAGTGACATTGACTGATGACGATTTCGTGGCATTTAAAAATCAGTGGAAGTACCGGTGACGAAATTTTCTTCGAAACCAATGGAAGAGTACGAAATAGAAAGGAAAATTACTTTTTTTCTGGGCAAAGTTCTCTGCTCGACAGTCCAAGAATTGATTCTCTGAACGATCGATTGGTGATCAGTATTATTATTATTTGTTTTCTCGACAAAAAGAAAAATACTTATCGTACGTTATTTGCCGATTAGCGTTGCTCTACAAATTTCTCTATATCCCTTTTAATCGGTACATCTAGAAAGATACAATTCTTTACATGCTAACATGTTTAAATCGAAGCGCGAATCGGAGGACCGAGGGAAGGCTCGGGCGGATCTTGTAACTAAATACGAAAATTAATTCACGAGACGCAGCCGTGTGCTAGTTACTCGTTTTTTTTGACTAGATTTCCCCTCCCTCGCTTGACTACGAATTTCTCTATCCGACGTTCCTGTGTTAGTGTGCGCTTTCGACTTGTTCCCAATGCAAAATCGCGCCCGAGTCTTCGACCCACAAGAATAATACAGTTCCGCTTTGTACACCGTGCGACACTTGACGAATTTAATGCCTTTTCTTCAGAATACTGCGTTCCCAGCGAGTACTTGCGATTCCTTGTGACACGACGTGACACGGCAAATTAAATCAGCTTTTCTAATCGCGTTACGAACATCACGGCGCGCGAACGCGGGTTTTGTGTGCGATTGCGATAAATTACAGGAGAGATAACGCGCCCGCGCCGCGGTGATTCAAAATCGACGATTCCTGATTGTACATACGTGATAATAATAATAATATCGTTTTGTTGTTGAAATAAGAAGAAACCGAAGGATCGAAACGAGAAGAATAGCGTCGCGAAAGGGTAGAATAGAACGGAAGGGGTAGCGTAGAGAAAAGAAGGAAAAGACGCGTTCGCGTGGATCGAGAGACTATGCTTTCCGTTTCGAAAATTCCACGACAAAAGGACGCCTAAAAAATATATATATATATTTTTATATATATGTATATGTTATGTATATGAACGTGTATAAATATAGATGTAGATACTCGATCACCGAAAGCTTATTTTTTGTTTTCACTGTTTTCTCTTTAACGTTAACTACAGTACGCGTGTAATAAATTACCTAACTTCTGAAAAAGGTTTCGGCCCTGTTAAAGGGATTACCGTAGAGCGCAGCCTACCGTGCTTCTTCTCCTCTCCAACTTCGACGACGATTTTACATATACATATATAAAGGTATTCATAAATTAGAGCTCCTTATATTATATTACCTTTTTTAAATTATCGAATAATTAATAGTAATGTTAGTATATACAGGTACAGGTCTCGTATAGTTGCAGTCGTGTCGTCACTGGTTGTTCAATCTCGCTTTTCGTTCCTCGCGGGCTCCTTTCTCTCCTATATCGAATCGTGTGCCGTTGGCGGGTGCCGACAAAATCCGCCAAAATCTTTTAATTGTCTACCTTGAATGCATAGGAAATGGTACCGTCATACCGGTAACAGGAAGGAAGTACGTACGTTTCAAGGAATCTAACATTTATCGTAGGCTTGAATCCAGAAGATAATTGGATTCGCGACGATTGAAAAATAAACTATCAAATTGATCGTTTTTTTTTTTTATAGTCGAGTGATGGAAGTATCGGGGTGGAAGTACTTTAGCGTCTTGTACACAGAAAAATTAACATGTTGCAGCGGTAGTACGGTACCTTTTCTAAGCATCGATTCTAAGGTAGACACCGTGGAAGGATAATCGAGAAGCTCGGACGACTTTGGTGTAGTTTCCTCTGGTTCTTTTGTCTGTCCGTGAAATGGCAGCGTGTTTGTGACGACTCGAGACAATGCGTGTATTTTAAATAATCCTATCGTTCAATTTCGTCCCTGTTGTTTCTAGACTCGTCTTCGTTGGTGGTGCTACCATAGAAAAAATATAGAAACGAGTATTTACAAGGAAGGAACTTTGTATGCTCGTAGCTGGAATCTTGTCGATCCACCCACCGTCGTCAGAGAAATCGAACTTCGTTTCGCGTGAAGTTGACCAGTTTTTCAAGAAGTGTATCTACTAATAAGCTTCGAATTCCTTCGCGTCATATAACAGTAACCAAGTAACAATTATTCAACAATCTCGAATTACTTGTTGCACGTAATCTCACTCACATTTTCTCTCTCGCTCTCTCTTTATACATATTTCTTACACGCTGCTTACGACGAATGAAATGAATGAAAAAGTACGATTTGAAAATTCCTTTGTTTCTTACGCGACCCATCGGAGGGACGCACGAATATATGCGTATGTATTATGTATGATCCTCACTACCATCTCACGGAGGTAACATCGTTTTCGTTTGTCGTGAGCAACTCGTTTACTATTTCACGGCTGGATTTTGCGTTTGAGCGAAAGGGCTCATACCCCCGTTCTTAGGTGCACTCGATTATGTGAGGCTGGGAGGTCTCTATAACGCTTGGTCTGGAATTCTCCAGATTGTGAAGAGATGTGGAGTGAGGCCCGTGAGCGGAACCGTGCCTTTCGTAATTGTCTATGTGCTCTAGTTCGCATTCCTTCGGCATGTTCCCTGTAATCGAAACAACGTCCTGTTCTTCGAATCATTGTTATTATCATTATCGGTCAATTAAATCCATCACGCACAGTTCCTCAACACAGAAATTTTAGAAAAATAGTTGACAATTGAAATTGTATTTTCTTAAACTTACCGACATTCATATCAGGGCCATATTCGTAGTACGTCGGCGACCCCACAGCCGCGGCAAGGGCGAGCTCGTCCTCGATATTATTCGGCCTACAACTGGTCGTCTTCCAGTGGGTCCTAAGGCCACTCGCGCTAATGTACTTCTTGTCGCAGCCCTGACAGGTGTAGGGCCTCTCGTTCGTGTGTAACCTCTTGTGCAGTTTGAGGTGAACGAACTGCGTGAACTTCGCGGGGCACAGGTCACAGGCGTAGGGCTTTTGGCCGGAATGCAATCTCAGATGGGTCTTCAGGTTCGACGTCGAACTGAACCTCTTCTTGCAGATCTCGCATTGGTGCGGTTTTTCCCCTGTTTCATTAAACATTATCGAATTATTACTATTGCTTGTGAAATCTTCGAAGCACAATTTCTTATATTAAGATAATAAGTACGGAATTGTATTTTATTTTATCAAACGGATTTATCTGTGACTCGTCGTCTATGTGAAGAAAATCAAAATGTATTTACCGGTGTGCACGAGATGATGCTTCTGTAGGTGGGCCAGCTGCGTGAAACTCTTGGTGCAAACGTTACACTTGAACGGCCTCTCGCCGGAATGAGTCCTCAGGTGTACCTTGAGGTTCGACAGCTGGCCGAACGTCTTGCAACAAACGTTGCACTCGTAGTGCATTTTCCCGTCCTTCTTCTTCAACGGGTACGGTAACGACCTGTAGCCCCTGGAGCCTTGCGAGTTCGGGCTCAGCGAGCCGCTTTGCGAGCAGCCGTGATCGTCCGGCGACAACGAGCTGGCGGGCGAATATCGGTTCAACGACGTCGAGTTCGCGTGAATCGTGAGGCCCGGGTGATGGCCTAGGTGGAGATTGTGCGTGCCGGCTATCAACGTCTGATTGCTCTCGATTTGCATCGTCGACGAGGTCGGCAATTGGTGGCTGCTCGTGGCAGCCTCTAGCCTTCTACCGTCCGCCCTCTCATAAACCACGTTGCCGCTAGGCGTCGGCGAGTACGCGGTGCAATTTATCGATAACGGCGCTACGTTGTGATGCAACGAGCTGTTTTGATGATAAATCCCGTAAGGGTACGAGGAGGGTGATTGGATAGGCGAAATGGGCGAGACGCTCTGGTTGCTGCTCACCGCCGAGTTCGGGTAAACGGGGCTCGACTCGATCTGACATCCGCCGGAGTTCGAGTACAGGATCGTCGGCGTGGACGCGTTCGTAGGGTTCGGTGACGGGCTCTTGGTCTTTCTCTTGGGTGGGCAGTTACTGGACGTCGTCGAGGAGTGAAGATTGGTCGTGGACGTTAATATCGTCGTGGACGATAGAACGTTCGTGCTGGAGTGGTGATTGCTCGGGTTGCTGGACGAGTGAATGCTCCCCGGGTGGGATTGCAGAACGGTGTTTGGACCTGTGCTCGAGTGCAGATTGCCCGTACTCGAGTGAAGGTTCCCCGTGCTCGAATGCAGATTACTCGTCGGACTCTGCATCGGCAAGGCGTTATTGCCACTGGTGGAATTCACGCAGGTGTCCGGTTGCATGGGTAGATTCGAACTGGAGTCGGGACTGCAGGGTAGGATATTTCCATAACGATGAGACTTCTTGTAGGAATACGCCATTTCCGTCGGACTCGACGGCGGTGGCGTGACTGAATCCACGTGCGTCTGATGATGAATCTGATGATGCTGGTGGTGCGGTTGGGTCCCGTTGTGATGATGGTTGTGGCTGTTGTTATTGTTATCGGTGCTGTTACGTAGGAGGATGTTCTCGAGGATGGAACTACTCGGGCTGGTCAGATAGGCCGGTCTCCCGGAAACGGGTAGATTACCCTTGACCTCAGACTCGTAGAAGGGCTTCGGGGTCTTCTCTGGGATCTCGTCTTCTTCGTTCACCGTCGATAGGACCGCGTTCTTCTGAAGAACTATGGGCGACATCGGTTTCTGTAGCTCCGGGGTCACCGCTCGGCTTGGCAACTCCTGTTCCTTGTCTTTCCCATTACCATCCAGGCTCTTCGTCGCCTGAAAGTTACCGTAGGTCTTGGTGATCTTGATCTTGACCTTCCTGTACTCGTTCTTCGCGACCGCGTTGTCCTGTTTGAGCACTTCGTTGTTGCACACCGATGTCTTCGCGTTCTTGCTGAAGTCCAGCACGTAGTTGTTCTCGGAGTCCGATTCGCTGCTCTCTTCCGGGGGCGTGAGGATTTCATCGTGATAATTCGAATGGTATCCCTCGTCCGACCTAACGGAACCGTCCGTTGGAGTCATTTGCGAACGTCTCTCGTAGATCGACGAGTCCTTCAACGGTGACACGTCCACGGCGGGTGGGATCTCGGTTGGTAGCGCAGACTGTTGTACTTGCTGTCCTGGAGCGATACAAAGTATGATCGTATGAAACATCGTTCCTCTCTTAAAACTTTATAAAATTATTGAACGGACAGTGCTCACTTACTTATTCTTTGAAGCATTAATTCGCCCGTCAGCGGGTAATTGAGCCTTTCTGCGAATTCTCTGCAATACCACACTAGAAGCTCCTGGTTCGGTAATATCGACTTGATTGTGTAAAAATAAATGTTCATCTACGAAACAAAATAACACGGTCAACTCTCTCTCCATTAAAAAGCGCCACGAGCACGTGGCGTTCCATGAACTCGACTCACCTTATATTGGCATGCTATTAGGTTTTGCGATTCGGACGAATAAGCCGGGTTTACGTAACGCATCCAATTCGATTTCTGGACGTCATAACCGTCGATGTAATAGAACAGCTCGTTGTTCTTGTACACCTACCAGGGAGATGTACAATTTTAATAGTCGCAACGACACGAGTAACCGATAGTGTAAAATCTACGATAATTTATAAGGTAGGAAACGCGTTACAGGGACTCTGACTCGAGTCCTGCTGGAAGCTAAACCTCCGGACGTTCGAAGCGGTTAGAGCAGAGAGGATACATTGACGATTTAGCGGCGAGAGTCGAGAGAGAACCCAAGTTCTCTATCGTAACTCATCAATTCGTTACGAGGCATCAATGGCTTCGCGGGTTTCGCTTTAAGGCTCGCTTAGATCGGCTGAAACCAGTTTCTGGTCTTTGCAGGCTTCTCTCTCTATCTTCCTCTCTCCCTTTTCGTCTTCCTCTCGTTGCGCCTTTCTTTTGCTCATCATCCGACAGAGACTAACCGATGATGATAGCCGACGCTTGCGAAAATAACTGCTACGAAGGAGTTTGAATAGCCAGTTAAACGATTCTTACCCTCCAGAAGTACTTCCGGTTCGCGTCGGCCGGCACCGAGTCCTTCGTGTATACTTGGCCCACGAGGGGACCGAACCTTGTCCCCTTGGGAATGTAACTTGTGCTCCATACTCCCAAAACCTACGCACGCGTTAATCACCCTTCGTTATTTAATCTTGATTTAATTAAATAAGGTCTTTAAATCCCTAACATTTATACGCAATGATATTGAAAAAATCATGTTTGACGATGAGAAATTGTTCAAGTATTTTCGCAAGTTCTAGTTCAAGGGCAGAGTTCAGGGTGAACTTAAATGCTACTGTTTAAGAGAAATAGCAATTGATCCCGCGACTCTCACCGAGGAGGTCTCGAGAAAGGATTCTTTGGCGGAGCAACGTACATCGTTGAGGGCCTGAGAAGGTTTGAGGACCAAATTTCTTGGCAGGGACGCCTCCGCACGATTGGTATCGCTCGGCGATGCCGCCACATCCGGTACCAAATATACGGCATGTTGCTCGAATTCCTCTTCTCTCAGGGTCGCGTGATCCCACTCGCTGGCCTCCATCCTTTACTGCACAGAGACGCATAAAAAGTGTTAGGCTTACTTCCGTTAGGTCAAACAGAATAGCGTAAAAATTATTTGAATGAATATTTTGTATGTCGTTATAGATAATCGTCTATCTTGTCAACAATATAATTTCTGTTATCTTTTCTGGCTTCTAACAGTCAGGTGTCATCATTTCAAATATTTGATCATACAATTGAATATTTTATGGAACGTCGTTCGGCACATTTTAAACCATCAATCATCGCCAACGAAATCGAAACGCGTGAACGGTGATTATTATTAGAACCGTCTTGGAGATACCTATTTGTACGTATAATGACGGCCGAGAACGCAGAGCGTTATAAATAGTTGAGATTCCGGTAAATCGATACGATCAATAACTCCAGCCATTAACTTCCGAACCACTTGTAAAAGAGAAGGCAACGCGTGTCGCCGCTCGCAACTATCGAGAAATTTTTTTTATTTTTCGCCATCGCGTTGTTCGTTCCTCGCAAGGGAGCCCGAACGGGTTTAACGCGCGTTCGCATTCTTTGTGTCTTCGCGTGAGGAGAGGGGAAAAAAGGGAACTAATTAGCCACGTGATAGAGAAAAATCGTGCTTTTTTCTTGCCCCTCAATCGGCGGATGGTGCAACACTTTAACACCGCGAAAGTGAAACCCGTCCTCGCATTGATCGACTGCAGGGGTGAGAGAGGGAGGGGGACGGGGCATAAACTCAGAAGTCCGTCCCACCCCGGCACCCCCTCGCGCACCCTCGCCCACCCCTCTATCAGGGGTTTTCGCTACTCGTTGAATTTCCATTTCCGTGGAAATCGCGCACAACCTGCTTGTTCACTATTCCGTTAACTTTCCGCGTAACTTTTCGGCGAATCGCTAGATCCCCCTTTGATTCACAGGATTTTCCTTTCAACCCGTTTTTCGAATCGATTTATCTCCGAACGATATTTATTTTTTATCGTACAACTTTGTTTTATTAGTTTTCCCTTTTTCTCATAAAAATAAAATATGTCTTTCCAAGGAAGGCTCCTTTTTTATGAGCTAATCTCGAGCAAAAATCATTATTGGAGACTTCAATGTTACTTTCAAGTTTGTCCAAAAGATAGAATAATGCAGTACGTTTTTAAGTTTTAGATAACACGTTTTTAATTTTTAGCAAGGAAGACTTGTATCAGGTTTACGATACCGTATTTAAATTATTGTGTAATTTTACTGTCTGTTGATTGTAGCTAAGATTACTGTCCAATTCAATTTCGCATTGGGGTTCTCGATTAGATGATTTTCAATTTTGCATGCGCATTTCGCCTAGTCGATGTACGGTACTCACGCCTTTTGGTGCATCGGTTTCGCGAGATTTGCGAGTCTCGACGAGAGTCGTGCACCGTCGACGAGTCCCTTACGCCCTGCGTTGTACTGACAAGGTTGATCGCGGCCTTACGTAGGCACGATTTCGCTGAAAAAGAGTTTGCCGGGGGGGTCCGTTGGCTAGGTTTATGTGATCCTGTGGTTCCGTAGAGAGATCGGCATCCCGACGACTCTTGGGACACTCGGGAGCCTCGGCTGGCCTCGCGTTGAGGAATAAAACACGCTTGCCCTTCTCAACATTTATTTGAAAATGTCCCTCGGCAAGGCAAAATTTTCGACGTCGATAAGGCCGATCGCTGCCGGCCTAGGTGGTCCTATCTACCACCTATACGACGCCTATCGATTATCAGGACATCGAGAAAAGGAAATTGGGATCGGCGCTGCCGTTGCACCCTCGACTAATCAACCACCGACACTCTCTCTTCTGCTTGTTTATCAACAACTATACGTATATCGTTTCGATTTCGAAGCGACGCCGTTCGTGTTACGTATTCCCTTTCGCGTTCTCCTTCTTCTCGCGTTGAAACGCGCGAGGATCGACGCAAAACTGAACCGGGAAGCACCGTTTTCTTTTTCACTTCTCCCAGAGGCACGCACCACCCACTTTGACGCACTTCAAAACTCTTTCAGTCTCGTACCCCCTCGCTCACCCCTCGTTACTTTCTCAGAGCGACGACACGTACGACTCGAGAAAACTACGAACGACCGAAATTCCTCCGGTATTGCGATCGCCGCCAGAATGGTGGCACACCGACGACGAGCGGGAACTCTTTCACCCTCGCTGTCAATGACAGCGAATGATCTCTCGCGGTTAAGCGGCGAACGCGAGCACGCCGCGTTCCCGATGCCGATCGTCCGACAAACAAACCACGGCAGTGTCGCGGCGCGATCGATTCGTTGATTGCAAATGTGAAAAGAGAAATGGGAAATTTATCCTCGGAAACCGGCACACTGTCCCGTGTTAACGAACGAGGCTCGCGTAATTTCAACCCTTTTGCCGAGGGTTGGTCTCCGCCTTCGGGTCGCTTTGGATGGCACACGCAGAGCAGTGTGTGGAACTCGGGTAGACCTGACCTAGCCCAACGCGAGTCGGCTTGGCTCGTCCTCCCCCCGGTATTGGTCGCTCGCTGTCCCTCTCCCTCTTTCTCTTTCTCCTCGTCCTCTTCCCTGTCTCCCTCTGTTCCTCTCTCTTTCTGGCGAACATGGACGCGGTGGTGTGCCAGCAAAGCTGCCAGACCAGAGCAGAGGTGGTGCATTTCTCTGCGCTGCGCTTTCGATCGACCCGTTGCCAGAGGTTCTCTCCCTCCCCCTCTTGCACCGTCCTCCCTCTCTGCTACACCCTCTGGCTCTCTTCATCGCTCTTCCCTCCGCCGCTGCTTTCTCCCTTCTACGTTCGACTCTTTCTCTCTGTGGCCCGTGCTCCTTCGCTCAGTCGTCTATCCTCCTCCTTCCCTCCTTCCTCTTCCCGGTGCCTCTGACTCTAGTGCATTTCCCTCTTTCATCCTCGTCGCCCCGGCTCGCCTGATTGTTTCTCTCCTCGTCGGACGCGCTCTCGTTACCCCTTTCAACCCCTCCAGTTACTCCAACGCATGCAACCATGTCCCCTTCTCTTTCTTCTTTTCTCTCGGCTACGCTTTTCTCTCTTCTTCTCATTTTTTCTCTCTCTCTTTTTCTTTCTCTTCCGTTCTCGCGGATTTTCCACGCTGCCTCGTCTCTGTCTCTGTTCATCGATGCCGGTAGGGTGCATGCGCCGATCGCTTCTAAATAAGTTTAATTCTTCGGATAACTTCTAGAGATCGTAAGACGCTCTCCTAAGATGCTACTTAATGAAAAAAAAAAAGAAACCTTGCGTGCTCTAGACACGAATCGGTTCCAGCGTTCTATCACGGTAGAGACCTCGCGAAAGCGTTTCATGATTCCGTTTCAAAAATTCGGATGGCGTTTTGTAAGGCGTAGTGTAGTTTCGAGGGTGGTGTTTATGTAACGGGTAAAATCGATGAAGCAAGTTGGCAAGAAAAATGATCTAAACCAGAATGCTACACCTTTGTCTCGCGAGAGAGGAGAATATCGAAGGGGGCTTGGCTCAAGGAAAAAGTAGTCTTGCGACGAGAAGATCTCAATTGAGACAGGTAATGTCCGGTTGACTCGGTCTTAATTCGTTCTAAGAGAATCGTATATTGAAACGTTTGAACAGTTTATAAATTTTTCATATTTATCGTGTAACGTCCATAAAGCGCACGGTGCAAGCTTTGCCTGGTTTGATTATCGATCATTACATTATCGAAGGAAAATTTCTTCTGGTCTGGTAAATTTACAAGCCAGACGGCCGTCTACAAAAATCCTGCGGTGTTTTTCTCCCGTCCTTGTTTACACCTGTTCTTTGAGTGTATAGCAGCGCTTTTCCGTTAGGCGCTGCGTCCCTCTCGCACGGTTTCTCCTCGTCCGTTGTCCTCTCGCAACCCCTTTACGGGAACGTGCATTTAACCCCAGCGCCACCCTTTACCCACACTCCCACCCTCTCTTTTCCCATTCACGGCTCGCTGCATACACCGATCACGTACGGAGCCGCATGAATGTAAATCGGCCCAAATCGATCCAGACTGGTCTGGAATCTAAAGACTTCGTGATTTTCTTTTACGTCCACAGCGCACGTCACTTCTCCGTTATCAAATAATCTCCTTAATATTAATAACTCGGTTACAGTTTTTATGTAAAATAAAACATTTATGGTAATCGGAAAAGTGTATTTCAAATAGAAAGTTCTCTTATCGTGCAAGAACTGCAATCTTATTTTTGAACTTTTTACAATTCGTTGATTAAATTCTTAATGCTGGATTAGATTGATTTAAAGATTTTCTATTGATTGGCTCGGAGTCTGACCAGAGTCACGGCCATTCGAGATCGGTAACCCCGTTCGCTTTGGCTAAACGAGCATCGCCCGTTGTCCTCTTTCTTTTTTTTTTTTCTCTTTACTTTACGCTTCCTAATAGAAGAGCGCAGGTCATCGAACCTTCCCTAATCCTCAAGACCGGTCTGTCGATTCCCCATCCGCGAGGTTACGAAATCTGGCATTGCACACAAAAGACCTCGATTTTCACCAAGAGATAATAACTTCGCGGCCGTTCACGTCTTCGCATATATTCCCACAAGTAAACAAGCGGCGCGTAATGCGTATTCGGTAATGCTTTGTTATTAAAGAAGATGGACTCTAAACAAGTCGTCGCGTCGTTAGGATAGCCTCGTCTCTAGAAGCAAGTAGCCCAGGTGGAAAATTTTTGCATTACCGGGAAAAATATTTACCTCGTCGAGGATGAGGTATTGCAGTGTATCGAATCGCAATAATTCACTTGGCACTGTTCCTGAAATTAATAGAATATCATGCCAGCTGTGATTTATTAGTAATTCTATGGAAACGCCTCTCTCTCTCTACCGGCGGAATTGAATTTATGGCAGTAATAGCGCTTTATCGGTCCGCGGTGGTTCATTGTCTCTATCGCGCACTGTCTACTCCGTCTCCTCCTCTTCTTTTACACCGGATTAAAATAATTCCGTTTTAATCCCCGGCGCGCGTGTGGAATTTAACGGCAGGCTGCTTTTAACTCGTACACGCGCGCGCTGCCTGACTGCTTTCGGCGGAAATTTGAAAATAATTAAATTCGTCCAGCCCGTAAACACGCGGGGGCATCGCCCAGTCTCAGACGAAAGTTTCGATTATTTCCAGCGAAAGTCCTACCGAACTCTTCATGAAGAAATAAGAACAAAAAATACACGGTCGATTGCCTAATATGTAATCGATTCGAATGGATCTTTTTAGTCATCGAATCTCGATTCGTGAACAAAGCACGAGAGTGACTCGCACCGGTATGTGGGCGAGGTCGTCGACCTCACACGGTGAATTCGTGCGACGAAATTTCGTCGGCCGAGGCCGTGGCTCAATCCGAAATTTCACTTTTTCGTGGATGCGCACAGGCCAGACGTGCAAGTAAAAGGCGGCATCAGCAGCCTTAGTAGCGAATTTCCACGCGGCGCCCTCCTAGCGAAAGAAGTTTCCGCGTGAATCGCCGACGACTACTAACCCAGATACGTTCCCCGGGTCGTCGATCTTTTCCCTCCTCGAAGGAACTGACTGTACCAGATATATTAATTTCCTTCGGTTCAACCGCTTTTTACGAGAATCACCGTTCAGATACGATCGCACGATTTCGTGGAATCGCTTCTCCGCTTTTTCAGATGCTGTCGCCATGCCGAAAAACCAGTCTCATAGATTTTTTTGTGTAATTAACCTTTTGATGAATTTTTTTGTAATCAACATTTTCTCTCAGTTTGAATACTTTGTTCACGTATATTAGGTAAAAATTTCTTATACATTTTTGTATGAGTGGATCAAACAATGAATTCACGACGGAATAATAAATATCGAGTTAGAGATCGTGCTTACCCTCAGAGGTCGATGGCATTAGGTTTCGGCGTTGGTCGAAAGGGAAATTAAAGGTTCCCGGTCCTTGGTCCTCGTAAAACGGACGACGAAAGCGCAAACACTGTCTCGTCGGCCGGTGAGGTTTCTAATCAGACGCGTAATAGCGGCCACGAATAGAAAACCGAATGTGAACCGGAAATGCCGTTTCCATGGAACCCATTCGAATCGAACCATTCCATAGTACACCGGAGTACTTTGACTCTCGTGCTGTACTCGTAACTGTTACTTTAGAGAATAACGGGCCATAAGCGTGTAGGCATACGTGTTTATCACGCCGATTGCGTGTACGCGTACGGCTTTCCAAGAATAACGGGTAGAAATTCGTCTAGAACGAAATTGAGTTGACTCACCCAAACGTTTTTCGAGGTTTACAGAAACTCGTGTTATCTCGTATAAGAAAATTCCAGAGTTTCTTCTAGTGTATTCTTAATACTCTTGTCTTTTATTAGGGGAATTTTGAAATAGGAAACGATTGTACGCGAAGATACGTTCAGTCGAAGAGACTTATTGAGAATTCCAAAGGTTAGAAGTCCGCGGAGCTGTCGCATCAACTATTCATTCTGCGTTCCCGATGGTTAAGAAAGGTCTGGACGCCTGTAAGAAGGTCGATGCTTAGCCGAGTTGCTGCGGGGTCGGTGACCCTTAAGGCTTTGAACCGGGACATGTTGCGTTTAAGCTTTTTGTAGAAAGTGCTGTTACTCCACTGATCTTGCAGCGAACTTTGCTTCTTCCTTTTCCCAACGATAAAAAGCATTTAGGTATGGATGCTATTTCAGCCGGTGTTTACCATCCAAGGACTTCGGCTTGTTCCGTTAGCTGATTTAAATTTTCACGACCACTTGACTTTATGACATCTAAAAATAATTCACCTTTCACTCGCTCGTTCCAGAGATACTTTGAAAATCGATGTCCGTGCATCTTCCAACGTATGAAAGAACAATTTCTCCTTCCATTTTCTTCCATAGTTCCGGCGAAAATCAAAGTTCTCGTTTCCGCCTGAATCGACGCGACGCGTCTTTAAAGGCCGACGTACTCTCGGCTGGCAGCAAAATGTAAACCGGAAAAGCAACGAGCAAGTGAATTAGCGAAGTGAGTTCGCGATCAGCTCCCCTTCTACTCCGCTCGCTTCGTCCTTCTTTCTCCTCGTTCCACCGAGGCACCTTCCATTCTCTCTCGCCACGGATCTGAAAGAAGGTCTCTGCCGGTCATTGTCCCACTTGGAGGTCTACTTGGACTTGGACTTGGACCACACCATAGGCATGGTGCGCTGAGTAACGAGGTTTCCGATACCCCCATAGGGGACCCCCTTTTGTGCCTATATTTCTCTATACGCAACACGTACGTTCACCAACAGGGACGGACGGAGACAGTGTTCGAACGGTGAACGAACTTTTAACGCATCGTGCTCGCAGATATGCGAAATCTTCCTTAAACGAGCCGCGTCGTGTTAGCTTACTCCCAGGAAACGCACCGTCAATGCGTATTGCCTTATACAGTAGCTACAAAAACTACTATGGCAATGCGATAACTACATATCTAGCCTAACAAAGCCGAAGTACATGTCTCATTTTAACAATTTTCTCGAACATTTCATATTATATGACTCCT